AAAAAAAAATGACAACGAAAATCTTGCTTAAATTTACCATTCGAGTCTAAACTGATAATGCAGCAAACTTAAGAAATTCACTCACCGCCAGTTTGGGCCCTAGCCCGCGCATAACAGTCACCAATCCTGTTTTACCATACTCTGAAGGAACTTCGTAAATATTTACAGGGACGTCATAACCCGTTGAACAGACCTATATCAAAAAACAACCTAGGTTTCTGATCCTAGTAATTGCACTGTAGATAAGCAGACTCAAAGAAAAGAACCTCGCCCCTGACAAACCGGCTTCTCATGCCGAAATCCCGAAGTCGTTCATAAGAAGATAACAGACCACCAAATAATTGGCTGCAAATCAGAGACCTTTGAAGAAGAATAATGGTAACCGAATAAAAAGCTCTATGAAACACATTTGTTGAGCACGTCTTAAACTGCTCAAAAAGCGTGGAAAAATGTATCTTTATCAAATAAAATTTCTAAATACTAATCCACTTACCTATATCGAACATCAGAAACACTGCTTTTTGCTGTCATGCTGTGCAGCTTGTCACAGACCAGCGTATCATGCTTGAATGCCTCTTTTGAGCTCAAAAATTGTACATGCTGTTCGCCTTAAATTTCACAAAGTTCTTTCTCACGAAGAAAAACAGGTAGCAATTTAAGATCAGAAGAATGCTCACCTTGTGATCTCAGTTGAAGTACACCTATTTCCGCTGCCATTTCGCCGTTAGAATTGATCTGCTTGACAATTAGTGGTGCCTCGTCTGGTCGACAAACCAAAACCATCCCTATTCCACAATTAAAAACACGCAGCATCTCCTCACAGCTTACCGGACCTACTTTATACAGCCATTTAAAAAGTTCTGGAATCCTCCACAAAGAGCAGTCCTTAAATTGAGTTTAAGCAGTAGCCTTACTAAACGAAAATGACTCAAAATCGTAACTGGTATTTAACATGCGTTGCGTCCTCAGCGTACTGCAAAGATTCTACCATTTATAAAATCCTACTACAATTAAAATAACGTACAACAACTGCTGTAAGATTATACGGCAAAATCCTGGCGACATTTTCTTCGATACCTCCACCAGTGATGTGTGCTGCTCCCAAAATGCTAGGAGAGTTAATCATCACGGGCAGCACTGTGTCAGAATATATCCGAGTTCCGCACAACAATGCCTCACCTAAAATCGCTTTAATTTGACAAGTGGAAAATAAAAAATCCTCAATACCACGCTG